CCCCTCTTTCTTTCACTATACTTTATAATTTATTTATTGGTTACATTAATTGTGTTTTGTATCTTTCCTGACTGGAGTAAAATCTCTAAGAGTTCACAAGTTTCTGTTTTGTTCAATGATGTATCCCTAGTATCTAGAACATCTCTTGACACAAGAGTATTGAATGGTTCCATTGATAAACAAAGTTTCTATTTGAATTCCAGCTTCCACTCAATTTCCACAGTTTAGAGTTCAAATTTGCCTCGGGCTTTTGAACTAATCTGGTCCCCAATCCATCCACCTACACTTCCTTCTTTCCTACCTTCTTTCCATCTCTCTGCTCTTAACTTGCAGTCTATCTAGGCTTTGCTCTTCCCATTGCCACCTGAAATGTGGTTTTGACACTTTCTTCTAGCTATCATTTTAGATTCTCTGAATTAACACCACCATACATGGTGAATCGTTTATCTGAAGGATTCTGAGGGCACAACAGTAAGTACAAAATGGCTACCAGTGTGTTACACGAGGAACGCATGTGTGGATGTTGGAATTGATGGTCCCTGGGACAGTGTGTTACAAAAGGCCCTTCTGGCAGCTAATCGTATTTCAACAAGAATAGCATGCACACCAATGAATGTTATGTGACCTTTTAAACTTTCAATTTGTTTCAGATGTGGCTTGAAGTATTGTGTCATCCAGAGTTCATTTGCCTGTTGGATGATTCATTTATTGATCTCCCAAGCAAACAGATGGTGGGTAGGGGAAAAGACAGGAGAAAAAGGAAGGAAAAAAAGATGTGAGAGAGGAAATAATTTGGCACTAACATGTCTGTGTTATGATTACCTCCACAACTAGAAGTGAGCATTTTGGTTTCCTATGTGAAAATTCAAATGTAATACAGTATATAAACTTTAGGTAAGTTGTGTGGTTTAACTAAAGTTTCTGTAGTCCTGTTTGTTTTTTGGTTGTTTTCATATAAGTGTAGATGATATTTATAAATGAGGGAAGTTAGAACACGAGTCACACAATGTGGCTGATGGCTTCTAAGTTGAAAATATTGAAAACTGGGAGTGAAAAAGATCACATCAAGAATGACTCTTTGTATTCCTAAGAGTCAGGCTATAAAATTTATTGCATGTTGTATAGAAAGTCAAAAATAGTGTGTGCTTTTAGTCAAGACACTTCTTTGTGATCATTCAGCAAACATGACCGAGCGTCTTTCAAGTTCAAGGCATCATGCCCAACGCTGGAGCAGGAACAGCAGGAGAGTAGTGACAGAACAAGGAGAGCTACCATTCCCGTGAGAGTATGAAGTGCCCATTTCTTTCAAGAGTTACCTGCAAGCCTCACCAAACTCTTCAACATGGATATTACAGTGCATGCTTTCCTAGGGCAAAAACTGAAGATCAGGAAAGTTAAGTAATATTCCAAAGTCACACAGCCTGCCTGACAGAACCAATATTCAAGCGAGTGTTTAGATGGCACCAAACCTATGCTATAGGTAGTCATAACCTAGAAAAGACAATTACTCTCTCATTTACTCAACTGCTCTCTCTTTCCCCTACCCCCAGGATATGAGGGAGAATGTGACACATAAATATATAAAAGAGGAAGGAATACTTTTCGTTTATTTGATTACCTGGACTACCTAGATTCTGGGGGCTCCCTTGGATACCTGGACATTTATCAACACTTTGCATTATAGTGTGCACTTCCAATGACATGTATATATTGATGACTCTTCATATACACTTTGTGCACATGCTAAGTTCTTGGGATACACATACAGCTAAGACCTAATCCTACCTTTTGGTGTAAGAAATAGATATGTCAAACAATTGCTGCCATATTGGCCAACTGTCCAGTTCTTTTGAAAATGTGCCAGGGAGAAAAGCAAACTGCCACTTGAGACAGAATCAAGAAAGCACAGTTATTGGGTAAATGCTATAAACCTGTACTGAAAGAAAAGTGGGGCTTAACAGTACAATGAGGCTTACTTGAGAACAAATATATTCTATTCTCTTTTCCTATTCTCCCCTTTCTAAACATTCCTTTTTAGTTTTTCTCTACATCATAAGGTTTATATTTTGCATCCCTGAGAGGGAAAAATGTGTTTTTCAGAGCTTACATATAGTAGTTGAATAATAGGGTTATAGAAAATAATTATTTAAAATTGCAGAGTTCTTAGATTCTTGGAGAGAAGTCATTGCATGGCTTTACAAATAATGATGGTTATACTACAGTGAGTTGGCTCAATACAGCAAATTATTGGCCTGCACATTTCAAATTAAGATCTAATTGGGGGAATATGAATATTTTGTCAAATACTAAGAACAATCGTATTTCATTGAAAACAATATCAATTTAAGATACCGTATGATTTCAGAGATGTTAAAATGTGAAAAAAATGTACATTTTAGAATTGATAAAATAGGGTGTGTATTAGTCAAGTTTCTCCAGAGAAACAGAACAATGGGATATGTATATAGATCTAGAGATTTATGTTAAGAAATTGTCTCACACAATTATAGAGGTTTATAAGCATGCTGGAAACCCAGGGGAGAGTTGCAGAATCCAAAGGTGATCTGCTGATAGAATTCCTTCTCCTTCTAGGAGGTCAGTCTTTTTCTATAAGGCCTTCAACTGACTGAATAAAGCCCACCCTCATTGTGGAGGACAATCTGCTTTAACTCAAAGTCTGCCTATTTAAATGTGAATCTCATCTAAAAAATACCTCAACAGAAACATCCAAATATATGGGTACTATAACTTTGCCCAGTGACACATAAAATTAACCATGATAGAGTGACATTAGAAAGTATAGGAAGATTCTGTTCATTGTCAGAAATGTTAGTATTAGAAATCACCCCAACATATAGAGTCCAGACAAGAGGCAGAGTAGTTCTTTGCTCTGTCTCTTGAGCTCCTGTGGGGGTTGGGATTCATCTTTTCTGATCTCTTCCAGCCCTTTCCTCAGAAGAAAACACCCACGATACAAACAAATTCACCCCCAGAACATGATTCTGGTGTAATATGAAGGGGGAAGACTCTGTCCTTTCTTCCACATTACTAAAGCTTACTGTTTTCCTAACTTGATAGAGGCCCGAATTCCAGGGGGACTGGTAGATGGAGAGAAAATAAAATGTGCTTTAAATATACAAAATAGAGTATTTTTTCTAAGTTTTAGTTTAGTTCTTTTAGATGGAACTTGTGTAAGCAGACTGAAGAAGGGTGGAGAGAGAGAGAAGTTATGGTAGAAGAGCAGTTCAGCCTCATGGCTATCTCCACCTGTCCCTGGTCTGACCACATTCCACCCCCGTCCCATGACCTTCCCCTCCCACCACCAAGCTCCTTTCTAAAATCCCCTGGACATAGCACTGTTACTTTCTCTATAATGTTCTCAAGGTCTATCTTTGCAGACAATAAATCTCTGTTAAATATTAGCTATGTTCAATATTTTCCCTCCACCTGATTGCATAATCCTTGAACTGCTGACTCACTCTTGCTTTATCATAAGTATTTACATTTTGGTTAAAATCATGGACTTTGGAGTCATGGAATCTTCGCTTCACCACTTGTGTGACTCTAGCCTTAGCTACCTCATCCATAAATTTGGGATAAGACTGTGGTGATGACCACTTCGAAGGCATATAAATGTCAAATTCTGTTGTATATCTAAAACTAATATAATATTGTATGTTAACTGTGCTTTAATAAAAATTAATGAATTAAATACATATAGGACATTATTAGAAACCAATAACATAGTAAAAAAATATCCTAAGAAATGAGATAAGAAGTAAAAATCTGATCATCTGATTATCCTAAAGAAACATTTTCAAATTTACATACTTTAAGGGGCCTCCTAAATCTGAGGAAAACCATGGTAAAGTCATGGTAGCCCTCTGACAGTATGAGTCAGAATTTTATCTCACCATCATTGAGGCTGTTTCTCCAGATATTCCTGAACATCTTCAGGAGTGTGTCATCCATGATCAGGCACAGATCCTATAAGGCACATCACAGCATGTGCCATCTTCTACTCTTCTGCCCAGTTCCCTAAAGGCCACGGCTAGTAATGTACAAAATTGCCTCTCTGTGACCTCCCCACAAGCTGCTCTTTCTAGAAACGATGCTTCTATCAGCTGGCATCAACATGACTATGGGCACTCATACCTGTGCAGACAATGAAACTGCTCCTAGTCATGCCCATGCCACTATCCTTTTCCAGGCACACTACTTCCACCTGCACACTTTCTCCAGACACTGCAGCTGTGTGCTGGTCCACCAAGGCGCACAAGCCATGCAGATACCTAAACTTTACCATATTCCTTGCAAAACTGGAGTGACCCATCCCTCCCCCAAACCAGTACTTTTGTGTCACATACTGGCATCTATCTATCTATCTATCTATCTATCTATCTATCTATCTATCTATCTATCTATCATCTACCTACCTATCATCTATCTATCTCACCAGAACATTTGCTAAGTTTCTAGTGCCTTACAGAGTCCTTAAGAAGAGAGCCCTTCCAGTTTTTCTCCAAACACCCCTGCTCCCTAGCACTCAGCAATTTGTATGTGAAGTCAGACCTGAGAGGTGGACACGTGCAGCACTCAGAACCACCATGACCCTCTCACACCTAAGGTTTAGTTTGTGGATCAAACTTATTTGCCTGATTTGCTTTCCCCCCAAGGATGACTTTTTTTTTTTTTTTTCCAGTGGGCTACTCCTAGATTTAATGAGAGCTATTGTGGGCCTGTCTGACCAGACCTCCAAAAGTAAGTGCACAATTGTGTAACAGAGTCTCCAGAAGAAATCAGCTTTAAATTGTTTTAGGCTGGAAAATCATTTAAAATATGTCTTTTCCAAGTTTTAGGGAAGAGCTGTTCAGTCTTGTTTGGGTGGACTCCCTTAGTTTGGGAAAAAACACTTGAATGGCATCATTTAGTAACACAGAGGTGTAAGGCAAATACTCACTCCTCTCCTGGGAGACACTATAATGGGACTTGATGAATAAGCCAGGGCCTGGCTCTGGTTCTGCAGGCAGATGGAGTCCTCACGCCCCTCCACGGAACCCAGTGTGCTACAGATGTTGGAGGCCATGAGGTCCACATTCTGAAAAAGCGCCTGCTACACAGAGGCTCATGGGATGGAAACACTGCAGATCTCAGTTCTTTCATTTGGTGATTCAAAGTTTTAAAAGCACATTCAAGGGACTGACAGTAACTGTAATGGAGGTGAGACAGAAACAAACAAACAAAAAGAGACTAATGAACTCCCCTGAAATTAAAGTCATTAAGAAATAACTGAGGAAAACTGGCTCCTTAGATTGCATCCCAGGGCAAGGTTGTTGGTGGGGAGAACTGGTTCTGGAATGCTCTGCCTGGTACTGAGATCACCTCTAACCCACCCATGGAGTGCCATTATTATGAGCTTTGGGGAAGTAGCTGCCTTCGAATGACAGGAACAGATGACACTCCACACTGTGTATATGACAGCAAGGTCAATTTTGGGTGTAAACTTAACACAAAGGGAGGACATGTCGTCCTTCCCATGAGGAATTCTGCATTTTGGTAAAAGTTAGCAGCAGCAGTAATGACTAGAACTTACAATGGAGTGTCTTTATTCTGGCAGTGAGGTTACACTTCAGCCACAGTGAAGTGTAATGGGGTACATGTCCCCCAGGGGTTCTATTATGTTGTGGTGACAGCTTCCATAAAAGGTGCCGAGATTGCTCAGTTGGACAGCAAGGCAAAGATAGCTTTCCACAGCTTTACACTCTGTAACATAAAAACAGTAAAGCTGTTATAGAGGCACTGTTCACAACAGCTGAAGGTGAAAACAACCCAAATGTCCATTAACAGATGAGTGAATAAACAAACCGTGTTATATACAGATCATAGAATATGATTCAGCCCTAAAAAGGAATAACCATCTGACACATACTATAAGGGTGCACCATAAAGATATTATACTGAGTGAAATGGTCAGTCACAAAAGGACAAATATGCTGTGAGTCCATTTATGTAAGGTACCTAAAGTAGTAAAATTAATAGAGATGGAAAGTAAATGGTGGTTGTCAGGGATTGGGGGAGGGGCAAGAGGGAATTACTGTTCAGTGGTACAGAGATTCTATCTGGAGTGATGTAAAAGTTTTGGAAATGGGTAGTAGTGATGATTCCACAACAATATGAATGTACTTAATGCCACTGAATTGCACACTTAAAAATGATTAAAATGGTAAATTTAATGTTATCTATAATTTACAACAATAAACATTTTTTAAAAAGAGTAAGGTGTTAAAGATTATCTAGATGAATAACTGCATTCATTGCTCCTCTGACCACAGGGGAGCTAGAAATCTATGTAATTTGAATATTACAGCAAATCTGACCTTTGTTTTACTTGTAAGCCAGTGGTGTCAGGAGAATTCTGAATTACATTTAAAAAATCTGACGCACAAAATGACAAGCAGAATTGGGGCATCTTTTAACTTTAGAAATTTCTCAAAGCCTTTAAATTATTTATTTTTAAATGGATCCCTATCCACCTGCCTTGCTCAACTATCCTCAGACCCAGGTAAAATTCAAAATCAAAATACAACACTAGAAAATGACTGTGAAGCAGTTCTTACAAAATTGTTCTATCAATGCTAGTGTGGAAGTTTATATCTTTTTAATATGTTTTTATTGACTTTAGAGAGAGAGGAAGGAGAGGGGGAGAAAGAGAGAGAGAGAGAAACATGAATGTGAAAGAAACATCAATCAGCTCCTCCTGCACACACCCTACTGGGGACTGAGCTGGAAACCTGGGTATGTGCCCTGACCAGGAATCTTACAGGTGACCTTTTGATGTTCTGGATGGTGCTCAACCAACTGAGCCACATTGTCCAGGGCACTGTGTGGAAATTTGAGGCTGTTTTTTTAGCATATTCAATTCATATTCAACACCAACCCCATTGTCTAATCTTCATACTGTACTGGGAATTTTGTTAAAATGCAGTTTCTGATTCAGTAGGACTGGTGAGGGGCCTCTTCCTCTGTCTCTGTAAAAAACTCCCAGATGAGAATTCCTGTCTGACAGCCACCCTCTGAACAGCAGGCCCTCAGTGTGCTCCTTGTGGGTTTTGTTTATGTCTTTTTCTCCCACTAGAATGCAAGCTACCTGGAGTGGGACAATCAGGACTCATAACTATGTATCTCTTCTAGTATCTAGCATAATGCCTTAGGCAAACATAGAAGCCCAGTAATACAGGTGACAATGATTACATTCAAATTACAAAAAGTAAACAACATATACAGAGGGGACAGGGGAAGAAGATATTTATTAGAAAATAAAATGGAACACCTGTGAATAGTCTGTGATATCCAGAATGAATCCAATTTTGCTAAATAAAATAAATGAATGTACAACATTTGAATGCACAGATTATCTTGAGGAAAGGGTACAACACCTAGGGAAATATTTAGGGAAAAGCAGAAATGATGATTTCAGCTTTCAAATTTCAAAGAGGTGTATCTCACTGCACATGTAAAAATAGCTAATTTTATTCTAAGTATTCTGTCTGTGTGTATTGGCCCCATATAATAATTTCACAATGTATCCAGCATAATGCTTTTCCCTTGAACATCCTTGAATGTCTCGCAAGCATCGTTGTTCTTCTTTAGAATAGGTCTATAATATAAATCTCATTTCAGGGTGTAAGGAAATAAAACAGTATAAAACAATCATGATATACAGTGTAAACTAGAGCTGACTCTCGTTGATGTATGAAATAATTTCCAAATAGTAACAAGGTTGCCAGTGATAAATAATATGTTGAAGTAGGTTGTGAATACTAACTTTATACAAATTCTGTTTTTTAAGCATAGAAACAAACATTCCTTTCAGTGGTCTTCCTGTGATGCTGATTATTCTGAAGTCATCACTTTTATTACTCAATGGGCAGATTTATTTATCAACATGTGCTAGTTTACATTTGAGATGCTTACATTTTCCCCGGCTCTGATTTCTTCCATTTTCTATAGTACATAAAGTATAATATTCATTTTTCCATCAGATATGTTCTTCAAATATATATTTCTCCATGGGTTCCACTGACAAAGGAAATCAAAGTTGAAGGCCTTATTCATCTGTGGTCCCCATATGAAGAACGTTTAGTCTAACCCATCTACTGAAAGCAGATCCAATGGACAGACAGCCTCCTTTCCTGACAGTTTATTACACCTTGGTCTCTGTAAACTGTAGGCTATAAATCTGACAGCAACATTATAGCCTCTAAATTAAATGTATAATTTTTTTATCCTCACCCAAGGATATGTCAATTGATTTTTAGAAAGAGAGGAGAGAGAGAAACATCAATGTGAGAAAGAAACATCAATTGCTTGCCTCTCGTACATGTTCTGGCCTGAATGGGGATTGAACACTCAACCTAGGTATGAGCCCATGTGCCCTGACCAGAATCAATCCAGCAACATTTTTGGTGTACGAGACAATGCTCTAACCAATTTAGCCACCTGGCCAGAGCTGAATGTATTAATTTAATTGATAAACTCATGTTCTCCATTTCAAGAATTGTAATAAACCAAATGTGTGCTGATTTTCTAACATGGATTTGTTTTGGTTAGAGAGTTGATATGGCTTGAGCCCTTAATACATATGAATTTTTAAACACTGGTTTCTTTAATCTACTAGTTCTCATATCTCTCTCCCACTATTTTTATTGAAAGGCTTTGAAATTTCTTATTCCAAATTACATGAAACATTGATTAACCCCATAGATTTATTTAAGTGCTTTTGTTATTAGGTATTTTAGAAAGACTCACAGAGGCAGAAGGGCAGAAATTCTGTAATTAATGAGGATTGCCTGCTCCTTGCTACAGTGGCAGTGAATTGGTTCCCAGTAGGAGAGTTAATAGAAAAAACATTCAATTTCAAAATGGCCTGGATGCAGCAAAGGGATTAAGCTGTAATGCTTTTAATCCCTATAACTCAAACAAAGGGAAAATTTTCCTGAGCAATGAACTGCATAATGTATTTGTGGGGCAGCAAATGATCATTGTTGAACATCAGCTGAACAGCCAAATCTGTACCCCAGGGATTGCACTTTACATAGCCAGAATGACAGCTCAGGGGATTTAGCAGCTTTTAAATCTAGGGTTTGACTGAATCTAAAATGGATGCTGTTTTGGGAAGTTCCAGTCTCTGAAACTCCCAAGCTGTCAGAGATCGTACTGATAAACCTTTAGATTGAAACTCCAAGTTAGGAATGGTGATATATAGACTGCAACTCCCCTACCTCTGGGGCCCATGACAAACACTGTTCTTTCATCATAGCATTCTGCACCATCAATAATATCTCCACGTGCAATTCAACTTGTTCTCATTCTTCCAGGATAAAATTTTTTTAAAAAATTAACATAAATTATTTAATCTCCATGATCAAATTTCTTAGTTTCCAAAGCTCTGGTAGAAGATGTCAAATAGCATACACGTGTAACTCAAAATGTATATTTTTCAAATAAACTGTGTTTATATTGTTTTCGAGGCTCCTGGGTATTCTTTTTATAATTAAACTTTTTGTTCATGTTGGGGAACTTCTATTGTTCTATCTTATTGTTCACTGGCTCTTTCCTCTGCCCTCTCCTTTGATACTGAGCTCATCTACTGAGTTTAAAAAAACATTTTAGTTATTATATTTTTCATGTCCAGAATTTATATATGGCTTGTATTTATATCTTTTACTTTTTTTTGTTGAGACTTTCTAATTTTTCATTTGTTTTGAATGTATTTGTAAGTACTCACTGAAACATTTTTATTACAGTTGCTTTAAAATCTTTGTCAGATAATTCTAGCATCTCTGTTTTCTTTATTTTTATAAAATTTAGTTTGAGATCTTTTAGGTTATTGCTATGTTGAGTGTTTTTTGTTTATTTATTTTTTTATTGAAACCTGGAAATTTTCAGATTGTGTTATGAGACTCTGGATCTTATATAAACATTTTTCTTTAGCTTGTTTTGTTTGTTTGTTTCCATGAAATTGCTCCAGCAGGGAAATCTCACTTTGCTACTATCAGGTGGAGGTAAAAGTCCAGGTTTCACACTCATCCTTTCTTGAACTGGGGAGGGGGAAGAGGCTCCTCACTGTTTCTGGATGGAGAGAGGAGTTTTAGCGTTTTGTTGTCCTAGTGGCTTTGTTACATCTGACAATCGTAAAAGACCTGGGTTCCCATTTTTATTCCTTTTACATCATCCCACCATTCTGAGGGAGCACTTCATCACTACTATGTATGGGTGGCAGTTCACACTTCACAAATGGTGGACACCATGGGCTTAAGCCAGCAGCTCCTTACTGGTGGGCCGGGACAAATATCCCAGTTAGGTATTTAGCCTACTGTGACACCATCCTGGTGGGGGTATTAAGGTGCCTTGTTAAAGCCTCATGAAGGTGGCAGTTCAGGCTTCCACTTGGCCTTAGCTGGTATGAATAGGTGGTGCTACAATTTTTTTTCTGATGTTTGGCTGGAAGAGAGTGATATGTGAGTGTTTTCTTTTTTGTTATCTTTCTTTCTTTGCTACCTTTTATAATCCTTAGGCTAGAGAGAGCAAACTTTTGGAGGGCACTTTTATCTGTACCCACTGGCATTTCTGGGTTGCTGACCTTTTCAGCTTCCATTCTGGGATATATGAAGGAAAAACAAATCCAGAGAACTCACTGCTGTGTTTTTCCGTAGGTCCCAACTTCCACAGCCAGTTTGTCTTTTTCTCTCCACCTCTCAGAG